CCAACAAGTAGTATCAAAGCTAAAGGTTTGAAACGTGAAAAGAGTTGAAGGTTCAAGCTATGGGAAGAGCCAAATCCAAATGAGCTTGACTCAAGGAAGAAGTTCGAGTTTATATTTTGAAGATCAATTTACGTGAAGCGTGAAGACACACAAAAAAAGATGATTGTAAGACTTCCATTGCAGATGGAGTTAAGCATGTCAAGCATGAAGACAAATGATTTGATAAAATTTAAGTCAAAATGGAGTTTGTTAGGAATAGTGACTCAAATCCCATAACAAATTTATTTGAGATTTGTTAGATATTGCTTGATGGACAAGAAGACTTATAAAAGAAGAATTCTAAGAGAAAATGAATTCTTAATAGACAAGTTTGACTTGCAGAAAGAAGAATTCTAAGAGGAAAGGGATTCTTAATAAGCAAGTTTATATGCTTATAAATAGGTAAAGTCTTTATAGGGTTAGATATGAGAAAAAGATGTAAGCAAGTTGTAAGATTTTATGTGATAAACAACCTATAAGACTACTGGAGATTTACGTTTTATGGATGTGTAAGTCTGAATGTTTGTGAGTGGACTAAAGGAGATTGATAGGGTCCACATGGTATGGTGTATGAGTGCACATAGGTATGTGTTTGGGCTGAGAATACTTCATAGGACTAGAGGAGATTAAAAGGGTCTATGAGTATTGATTGTTGAATGGTTGATATGATTTGTATATTTGTAATTCTCTACAACTAGTGGATCTTATTTCTCATCCATAGACATAGGTCGATTGGATTGAACTATGTTAAATTATTATTTTTTGTGTGATTGATCGATTGTTCAATTTTGCTTCCACCGATGTGATTAGATCGAGGTTTTTTGCCCAACAATGTCAACATTAGTTGCTCTAGTTTTTATCCCCCTCCCTACTCTCTTCTTGCACCTGCATATAAGCTTTTATACCAGGCCATTTGTCAAAGTTTGTCTTTGTCATGCAATTTAACGGAGTTTGTGAGGAGGGAACTTTGTTTCTAATCATTTTAGGGGAAATAAATTTGTATAAATGTCTAAAGTGCATTATCTGCAATAATGATGTAGATTTTGCTTGACGGGTTGAACTGGCATCAATCTGACTCCTCTCCCGGTATCAATTATTAGGTTTGTCAAGATTTCCTACTCTATGAAGAATTGTCCTTAGCTTCCATAACTATTGTATGCATTGTTTGCAACTCTATTCCTTCACACTGCTATTTATAATGCTCCCCCTCCCCCCAATAGATGGGCAGAGTCTTAAAATCTATGATTCTAGGGATTCCTCTCCGTATTTTGAAAGCTGATGGGCATTTATGAGGTTCTGTGCCGGGCACCTACATGTGCCTAGCAGACAGCACGATATGATATCCATCTCATTTCATTATTGATGTATCAGTTTCCACTTAGATTAATGCTCAAGTGCATTATTTCTGATACTTTCAAAGGTAAAGTCATGCATTTCTTATCATATCTTTACAAATTGTTCTTTTTTTTCTTGGATTGATCTTCCAGTTGAATTAGTTATCCTTGTTGAATCAGTACATGAGGTTTCGGGGCGATGTAAACAACGTATTGAACTAATTGCCAACATTAGGCAACTGGAAGGATTTTCAAGAATTGAGGCATTTGTTAATGTTGACAGTGGAGAGGCATGTTGATGTTGGTTCTATGATGCTATAGGGTGCCTCGTTAGCATTTTTGTAAAATTAATTCCAAGTTCGTAATTTTACTTGTAATTTAAATTCTGTGGTGGGTGTCTTCGTTTACTCGGAGTAATGCATGAACTCTCATCTTTACTCTGAAATCTGTATGCATGTGGGTCTTTTCGAAGCCCCTTTTCTCTTTCGACGTCCTAATGATTTTTAAAGCAAGATTTTATGCCCGATTAAGTAGTGTTAAAGATGCTGATTGATGGAGTTCTTCAGTGTTAGATTAAAGCATCTTCCTAGTTATGAAAAAAGCAGGTCTTGGTTATAGAGGTCAAAATTGTGCCTGGAATGACTCCTTCCACCGTCTTGATGCATCAGGTGAAAGTAAAACTAACCCGCATCCGCAAAATGTAGCATTCATATAAGTGTGGAAGGTTTTTTTTTTTTTTTTTTTAACTACATTATAAAGAGTTCGTGTGGAAGTTGACATTGTTTCATTTTGTTGTTCATCCTTGTCTTTTGGAATAAGAGAATTGGCATATATATATATATATATATAAATATTTATAGTTTTCAAAGAAGACTAATTTCTGTTCCTTTATTTCATTTCTGACATTTCTGTTATGCTAATTTCAGGCACTGGCAGAGCAGCCTTCCACATATCGAAATTAAGGTAATTTAATTTCATACACTACTTGATTTGGCGTCGGAGAGAGTACCGTAAAAGTTGGTGGATCTTCCTTTAATTCAAACCGTCACTCACCTTGCCTTGGGTGTTTGACTATTGAAGAATGGGAGAGAAACGCAATTGGGAAAAATTGAATTCCAAGTGGCCAACTGAAAAGCAACAAGTAGATGACGCTCAAAACTGAAAAGCAATCGGATAAATTGCAAAATTCGGGGTTATTTTGTTTCTTTTTCCTGTTGTCTTGTTAGATGGTAAAGATAAAATTTAGATGAAATTATTTTTTGAAGTTTTTTGAATTTTTTTGAAAAATGATTTAATAAAAATTTTAATAGAAAATTTTAAATTAATATATTGATAGAGTTTAATATAAAAATTAATAATATATAAAAAATATTAAAAATATAGTTTATAATCTAAATTTAATTGATATTTATTCATTGCTAAAAATTCTGCTAAAATTTTTATTAAAAATATTTATCTATAAAATATATCAAAATTTATCATTTTTCTAATTTTAAACAATTTATTTATATAACAAAACAATAGGTTTTAATTTTCAATTTTATTTTTTATTTAATCATTTTTAATAAATAACTTCATATATTTTACTTAAAAAAATTCATATAAATATTTTTCACATCTTAAAGCCTTAATATAATCACTAGACGAATGCCTGCAATTCACTCATTTGATTTTAAAAAGATATATTAATAACATGTAAAATAAAAATAAAATAAAAATAAGTAAAATTTAGATACATATAAATAACAAAATATATGCATATATAATTAAATAAAAAATAATATAATAATAATAATTATATAAAATATACAGATATTAACACAAAAGCATCAATAAATTAATTAAGATTATTTAAAATGATTGTCTCACTTTGAATTGAAATTATCATTTAACAAAGTCATATATTTTCAGATTGCACACATAATATAATCACCTATAATATCAAAGTCGACAATGTTAGTTTGTGTTTGACTCTCAACAAAGTAAAAGTTATTGTTATAACTTAATTAACCCCAAATTTATGAAAAAAAAATCAAATTTAACCAGAAAAAATATAACTGCAGCCGCAAATACACCTTAAATCAACTTAGTCAACTCATCCCACTGGTTTAAAAATTGAGTTTTATATTAAGTTGGGACAATTTTAATATATTTTATTGATTGTATTGATGAGTTTATTTGATGGAAAATAATCTACTCTTAGATAATTATTGATCTTGTAGGCCAGATGAATGATGTGCCAAGATCATATCGTTGAAATCAGGACCCACCAAAATTGGACCCAACAGATCAAGTCAGGAATTTTGTGCAATTAAGGAAGTAGTTTGCTCTATTACCTCAATCATATCCCTTTAATATATATATATATATACACACACACTCACAATTAAATAAACAGTAAAATTACTTATTTGGCATTAAATTGAAGTTTGGGACAGTTTTAATCTATTGTATGGATAATGCTTGCCTATGTTTTAGTTAAAAAATAAAAAAAATAAAGGCAAAGGGTTTAAGCAGGATTTGACTGTATATGCTTTAACTTTAAAGCATTTTGCATTTGACCAATGTGCAAAGTAGAATGATAATAATCTATATATGGTCTATTAGTTTGAGGTTCTTTAGCTTATTTCACATCTTCAAAATGGGAAAATAACTATTTGATAGTTTTTCATGGAGATTTAATTCATGATGAAAGTCCATGAATAGATCAAATCAGAAAAGTCTCGATAATATGGTGCAAGATTTCATCAAAAAGTTGGAAGAAGCTTCTTTTTTGTTTGAAAGGTGTTAATGGGTTGAGCTTGAACATGTTTCGTTCAGTTATAAGGCAAGACCAAGCCTTGAAGGAATAGTGTAAACCCAACACCCCCAACTCCATTGAATTGAAGGCCATTTTTTTAGCTTTGGGCCCTTAAAGCAAGGTGAGAGAGGCTTTCTTGCTCCCAGTTGATTGGATTGGGAATACTTGAAATTTTGAACAGAAGAACCGCTTTAGCAAAGCTTTATTTACGTTAGGCAGCGGCAAAGAAAAGACAAGTGAAAACAAAATTTTGGTGGCTGTTACTGGTCCTGGTAGTTTTTTTTTTTTTTTTTTTAATTTGAAACATAGAAGATTGATAGGATTTTATATGATAGATTATCTCACGGGAACAAAGGACTTTGGATGCATTAATTTGTTGATTTGTTTGATATATTTGTAATTTTTTATAATTAATGTAGTTTTTCAAATAAATATAAATAAATTAAGTGTAAAAACATAGTTAAATTTTGTCTTTTATATATAAATAATTTATTATTCTATTTCATTTCTGTTTGTCTTTATATAAATAATTTATTATTCCATTTCGTTTCTATTTGTGTAAATGATTATTGATTGACACTTTGACATGATAAGATGTTACATGTTAGAATTTGTCAATTTTATTTGGTTTTCTTTGGGTTTTTTTTATTTCTTTTAAGAGTTCCATCAACCAACTATAAATAATGAAGTACCTTCTTTTTAATAATTGTGCAAAACACGGTTACATGATTTACAGTTCAACAGATATGTAGAGATGCATAATGTGGGTCCATTTTGACGATTTCCATGCAATTTCCCAAGCCATATGAATCACTAGCTGCCTATATCTATATGGCAAGCACAAGGCCAGGCAACGAGCGGCGTGCCATGTCCCTGGGTTGGCTCTGCCACAGAGTGTGGCTGTCGTGCCCGATTTCGCAGCCTGACGGATTCACATCCCTCACAGTCAGCCATGTATTAAAGTACTCCCTAAATTGTGCAATTAAACCGTCTTTCAAAGTCCATACATGTACCCAATAAACTTGTGCTCCTTCCCAACCCTCTGAAATCACGCAATCACCAATGACCTCGATGCTTCTTGGCTCAAACCGGAATTCGGTGTGACTTGACTCGCCAGTGAGCATCCTCATCATATGCTGGCACCGGGGAGGCCCATGGAACCACCATTCCAGGTCACTTGCTATCTGTTTGACCACGGTACTGGTGTCACCATGTGCCAATGCCTTGTAAAGTGTACCCACAATTGCTTTATTTTGCATTTCTGGGTTTGAGTCACATTCTGGAACAGAAGCTTTGTTGGATGCCATTCTCCGTTATCGAAATGAAAAAAATAGAGTGAGCTAGCCAAGCTCAACAAAGAAATTAAGGATTTTGTAGAGCTGGCTTTGAAATAAATTTGAGCATGGAATGTCCCAAAGTGCAGCCTTTTTATAGTAAAAATCGATGTAAATGGATGGCCCCTTTTATGACTGCTGTGACATGGCAGTTGATGTTAATTGTTGAATGACTCTTAGAAATTTCTATTTCTTTTTCGGATATATTTATTATATATAAATAATTAAACATGGATTATATTTATCATGTTTTTGTTAAAATATTATAACGAATGCTAATTATTAATGCATATATATAACTTCCAGCATGAGTTACTTTTAATACTAGTTTATGGCCAATGCTAATTGTTGCCTAGGAAAAAATGATGGCCTTTTGTAGTTAGTGCCTGCCCTAGATAGTTATGAGTATGCTAAATCCAAACTTTAGTGTATTGATTAATCTACCTTCAAGAAAGTTTGTCACAGGTATTTTAACGTTTCATTTTAGAATTTAGGATGAGACTTGACTTGGTAATATTGCTTTTGGCTGCGAAAGATGATAGCGTTTTCGGTTCCAACAGCGCCAAAGACCTAAAATATTTCTTATTTTATTGCTTTTCTTTTTCTAGGCATGTTGTTTCAAGTGGTTTCTTCTGATTTCTCATAAAAAAATTTACAAAAGAAAAGAAATTGCATGTGTTAAATATATACCCTATGCTGCTCCGACGCATGTTTACATTGTTATCTACTTTTGCAGCGTATAAGGACCTGGGGGACCAGAAAATGCCTCTCAACTCTCAAGGTTCAAAGATTGCAATCTGCAACCTATGAACATTTGGCTAAGGCATGAGAAAAAAACAGCAAGCTGCAGTTTAAAACTTGTTAGCCGAATCCGGAACTTCAAGGAGGCAAAATTTCAAAAATAAAACAATATTACTAGTATAATGCAACGTATAATGTGCCGTTATAGAAAGAGTTTGTGTAATTTTTTGTAAGGAAACAATGATCGATATCTTGAGTTGAGAGTTGAGAGCGAGAGACTGTCATGATCATAGTGAAATATATGCCTAAAAGGCGCCAGGTTGGCGGCAGACTACTCTTTGACTCATCGTTTTCGATAGTGATGAGAGAATTAGCCACGCCGTCACTTTCAGCCTCCCTGTAGTAATTAAGGCATCTTTTTCCATAATTGATTTACAGTTCGTAAATGGCTTTGCTTCGGAATTTTACATCATGAGACACCGATTTGAATGCCGAAAAGAAAGACAGATGAATCATTATAAGAAAATAAAAGATTAGTGACAGTTTTGTAGTGATAATTTACTTAAAAATGTCATTAGTTTTTGTGTTGTTATAAAACTTAAGATATTTTTTATCAAAATGCTATTAAATATTCAAATAGTAGCGTTTATACTTATAAAAGCCACTTAAGACAAAAATTATCCTCTCAAAAAATGAAAGTGATTATTAAAAGTATTTTTGATAGAAAATACTTAGAATAATTTCCTCATAAAAATGGATAGGGGTGTATTGAGGGTGTTTTTAGTATACGACACCTTCAATAATCCCCTCATAAAAAATAGAGGCAATTATTGAAGGTATTTTCTTCCAGAAATGCCTTCAATAATTCTCCTAAAAAATTAAAGATGATTATTGAAGCCATTGTTGGTAAAAAACGTCTTCAATAAATATTCTCGTCAAAATTTAAAGGGTATTTGGCCTGAAATCACCTTTTAAATAAAATTGAAATAGCTCTATTGGTTAGATCATATGGTTTTAACCATAAGGTCGTATGTTCGATTTCTCCCTTTAGCGTTTATTGGGTTTTTGAAGGGATTATTTGTCAGAGATTATTGAAGATATTTTTTGCAAAAAAATGCCTTAAATAACCCCATTCAATTTTTGTAAGGGATTATTCAATGCATTTTTTAACCAAAAATGCATTCAATAATTTAATCAAAAAATTTTAGAAAGAGAATATTAAAGGTATTTTCGATAAAAAAACACCTTCGATAATCCATACAAAAAATTTTGGAGGAATTATTGAATGTGTTTTTTAAAAAACGCCTTCAATAATCCATACAAAAAATTATGGACGGGATTATTGAAGGCGTTTTTAGTCAGAAACACCTTCAATAACCACATTCAACATTTTGTAAGGGATTATTCAAGGCATTTTCTAGCTAAAAACACCTTTAATAATCCCATTAAAAAACATATGGTTTAATTATATATGTGAAGTCAATTGTAAGTTTGTGTCCCGAAAACATTTGAAGTTAAATATAGGTTTATGCCTAGAAAATATTTGATTTATATATGTGATACTACGAATTACATTTTGAAATTTACATGATAAAATATTTCAATAAATTGACCATAAATCCGAATTTAAAACTGATAACGTTGCTATATAAATATACTTTTCTCAAATAATCGTACTCAATATATGTGTATTCATATAAGTTGCCAATTGATATAAAACAAATATATACCAATAATATTAAACCAATACCCTAATCTAGAAACTTAAATTATCCATTCAACATGGCATGTTAAACACATTATAACAAATGAAATGCATATATTTACACCCAACTAACAATCTCCAACCTCAAGGTTTAGCAAATGATAATACATACTCACACCACTCTTTACAGACTTCATCAGGTTCGTTTGTCATAAAGCTTTCTTTACTCTCCCACTAAAAAAAATTAGAAGTAAATATTAATAAACGAGAACATAATTTAGCTTTTTTTTTAAGATATAATAATTTTATGAAATTAATACTAAACTCGAATAGTGTGGTCATAAAATCATATAAAACTATCTCCCTCATAAAATGAAGGACATAATATCCACATTCAGTATATCCTAGTTGACAAGGTATCTGAAAAATAAATTGAATGGGTTTAAGAAACATTTATCTAAACAAACTCAGCATAAAAAGAATAAATTTCATATTTACCGGTAATGACACCCAATTTATCTTTGCTTTCTTATCAACTGCAGATATTACTCTAAATTAAAAAGAAAAAAATTACTTAATGCAAAAATAAAAGTAATTATGAAGAAACAGAAGATAATATAATAGCATGTAATACCTTTTTATAAAATTTTTAATATTGGGGTTAGGCATCGCTGTTGGTAAAGCAAAATTAAATAAGCATGCCGTAAAAGAATTGGTATTAATCACAATAAACTGCCAATGATGACTGTAAAATAATAAGAATAATATACTCAAATTAGGCATCATTTTAGATCAGGTAAGGTTAGAATAATTATTTATATGAATATAACTTATGCTAAATTATATAGGAAAATAATAATCAACTCATTTTTTCATGCATTGAATCACATGATGAGCACAAAAATTGACTATGTCACTCTGCTCACTAATGAAATTCAGGTTAATGAATCTAAATCTATGGGTCATTTGTCTTGCCTTGACCTCTCTATCTAGGAAGCTGTATGATAACAATCAATAATACTGTTAATAATACATCGTAATATAGATTAATACATATTGAATTTGCATATTTATATTTATAAGCTAACCTCATATAAGCAATAATATCAACAGCTAATACTTTATCCAAGTTACAAAATTTCTTAACATCATCCTCACCAATGTAAAAAAATGATGGTTGATCAAATAACCTATCATCAGACTCAACATTAATGTAGTTTCCTTCGGATAAATGATCAAGTGAATAATTAGATAACTCATCAATGGCAGTTTGAGCAAGGGTCATACTTTGAGTTCCAACATCTTGCTATAATATATAATAAAATATAAGTAATAAAACCAAATCAATAAATATAATAAAAAAATAAATATTAAGTGAATAAATAATATCATACTTCATGGCTAGTATCGAAGGTTGAGTTTCCTACCTGACTTGAAATAGAAGCTTGTCCTATGTAGATAATGCTAGCTGATTGGCCTACAGCCATGCTAGGCTACATTGCTACCAACATCACCTTTAAAGCTGTAAGCCATTGTTTTTACTGATTCAGGCATTGCCCTTATTCATCAAGTCTTTGTTATTGTTGCTTAACGATTACTTCATATTGTGCATTCATTATTTGAGGGGTTTTAGGTTGATTACTGAAAAACTTTAATGGCAACACAAATTTACCAACCCTACGAACTCGACCATGTCTTTCTTTCGCACCAATGCTAAAGATAAAGGATCTTCGCCATATTGGGTTATCAATTCATTGAATTTAACTTTAGTAGCATAATCATATTGAAAGACAATAGTAAGATGGGTCGTAACAATAAATCTATACAAGCTAGTATACAGTCATACATATAAGCACAAAGCTAATCATAAGTGATATAATGAGTAGTTATACATACAATCTTTTTAGTCATTTCTTTAGTTGCTTCATCTATAAATGATCCATCATTCCGTAGATGTCATTCTTTCCATATATCCCATCTAAAAACTTTAGTGCTAGAGCTAGCTAATTCTTAAAAAATTATCGTAATATAATAATCAAAATCTATTAAATGAATGTTCATAAATATCCAGTTATGAATATAAACAAATGTATGAATACTTACAAGCTCATACTTGACATTTACATAACCCTTTCTCGATGTCCGATAATGATATACTTGTTTGGTCTGAATGTTCTTTGGTTGTTCTTTGATTTTCTAAAAAAGAAAGAAATTACATAAATCACATATTAAGTTATTGAATATATTACATAAAATCTTATAAACAATTTTTTGTAATGGGTATGCATACTTAGAAATTTTTTGATAGTTGATCTCGAACAAAAGTCATCCAATCGTTATAACTTATAACATCTGTATATGAAGTAGGTGGAACAACTAATACATCACCCTGATTAACGAGTGGTAAAACATATTGAGTTGTCAATCTATTTTTAAAGTCTTTGAATGCTTTCTCAACTAATTATAACACAAGCTTTTTACACTCAATTGGGATGTCAAACCGTTCCTAAAAAATTTAACACTATTA